AGGGGGGGGGGGGGGGGGTGACAATATACTCTCTTTACAAAGTGGGACGCACGAATGCTCTCTTCTCAAGCTCCACGCTACCCCTCACCCCTGGGTGAAGCCTCCTACTGTCGGTCGAAGGTAAGGTGTCCACCACACGACGATTAGACACTTGACTTACTTGAAAATTGCAGAGCTAAAAAGAATTCGCCAAGGTCATTGAAGGAGAGATGCTGGCGCTCAATGGATTAAACACGTTTTGCCAGTTCTTGAAAACTGGTGTATTTACAGTTAAATAGAGTCGTTTTGGTTGATCAGAAATGGATCATATGGCAACAGCCAGAGACGCCCTAGGATGCCTTCGACTTCTGTCACGTTCAGTTTCGTCCTAAAGCCGTCCTTTACAATTCGGCTGTGAGCTCCAAGAAAGGATTAACACCCCCTATTTACCAGTGCAAACAAAACAACATATTCATTTTTTGTACTGATGAAAACCCGGGCTTGTATGCCTTATGGCTCGAAAGTCTTGGCCTATAGCTATAAATCATTCGGGCATGTTTACATTACCGTCAATTTGGCAACATGTGTTATTGCATTCATATATTATTGTATGATGATAGATGTATATTTTCAGCTGTGACTTTTAACCGTCAATCTTAGGTAAAATTAAAGCCCCAGTGAAACGGGGATGATAGCTGTTGCGAGTTGTCATTTCAAGCTGCCAAGATTCACAAAATAAAGCTTTGATGAGTGTTGGACGAAAAGGGCTCTAAGCGAAATTGAATTTGACTTGGTACGCCAAAATTATTTTTAGTTCATTTGAACATTTTCCCACAAAAACAGGACCTATCGCAGAAATTAAATGGCGAACCAGCTTAGGTCATTCCATAGTTAATATTCGAGTACGTTCAATTCAACGTGAATCGGTTCAAAATATCAGTAACCGGAGGCAGATGTTAAACAATTTCTACTAACTTAGAGGGGCTGGTTGTTTAAAGCTGATTAGAGCGGTTAAAATTGAACCCGCTGTTTTAGTTTATGTATTTCTGCACGTCTGTTTATTTCAAAACTTCAGAGAAGAAAACTCCTACTGATCCAGACAAGGTTTCTAAAGAAATATTTCCAAATTTATAAACAAGCTGTCGGGATATTTGCTTTGAATTTTAAGTTAACCTAGGGTTAAGTTTTGCGGGAACGGCAACCGGACAAGGTGCCTTCGCTCAAAAATCGAAGTTTTTTTTATAGGTATGGTTGTATTGTCTACAAAAGTTCTCAGTTCGGTAAACTATTTCTAGTGTATTCTAAGGTTTGAATGAAGGAACATGTTTGTTATTAAAGTAGTCTAAAAACATTTAGTCACGTTTCGTATAGTCACGGACGTGCCAGCCCACACAAATGACCCCCTCCCCCCCCGGATTAAGATATCTATATTAGTCTAAGCAGCTCTAATTGGGGAGGGAATTGAATATTCATATAGAGCGAAAGAAACAAACTTGCCTGCAGGGTTCCTAACACATGAAAATGTTCACTATACACGAATGAGAAGCTACAATTAAAACTCCAGATATATGCCATAATAAAGGTATGTTATGTTTGTTTTAGAATGTTTTTCTTTCGTTCCAGTATCTCGTCTTCTTTATTCTGATCCTCACAATTTATAGCTTATCAAATTCGCCAGTGCTTAGTCAAACATTTCGCTATAAACTAGCAAGGGGTACAATTGTTATTGTCTGGTTGCCAATGTAATTGTACTTTTGCTATACCGTATCCCGAGATTGATGTCAAAACCTTTCCTATAAGATAGCCTATTGTAGAACTTATCGAAAAAACTTTGATATCTTAAATATTACACATATATATGCTTGTGGTTGCACTATATCTCATAAACAGTCGTAGATCTGCGGGGATTATATTATTCGAAGTATCAAGTACAATAATATGTACTATATTACATAGGGTTGTAACGCGGGATTATCACCCTGTATTTACTGAAACCTTGAACTCCAGTGACGGTGTTATTTTAGTCTCTATAGAGTATGTCAAACGCGTTTATTGCATCTATTTTTCATAAAATTATTTCTCACGCTTGACTTATAACCTTCGATAATTATTGTGAATTCAAACTAAACCGCCGCAAGGGGCGCATTTTATGCTCTCAAAAAGCGCACGAGAATTTGTGGCATTCCAAAATCCGTGCAATTATACGTGAAGGCTTTTTTGCGAAATTTTAAAGGAAATTTTGGCTATTTAGAATTTGGGGGCATCTTACGAGATTCAATTGGGATTTTGAGAGGAATTTCGACAAAGATTGTATAACAGTTTTAAGGTTTTTATGGGAGGTTTTCGACATCATTTTTGCGGCTAGGATTTCGGGATGATTTTTTGAAAGATTTTAGAGGGAGTGCAGGGGGCATGCACCCTTGCGGTCATACCCAATACCAAAGTCAATTTATGGTTTGAATATATCATCGTGGATCACTCTAACGGGTCAATTGTTATTTTTTATAGCCAAGGCTGTCCGGGGCACAGTGGTACTGCCGAGATGACACAAACTTAAAATGTTCGCATTTGCTATCTGAATTTCGTTGGGAAATGGATGTAATTGGCCTAGGAATGCCCTCATTGGTCGAAATGTCAGCTCATTTTCTCCGCACAGGTGTTATGTAAGTAAATGTGTGAACATTTGACGTGTATATTGGGTTTTAGTCGCACAGAGCGCGCAGTTTGCCTAACAGTAACTGACACAGTACCGTGGAATGCGCTTGTAATATGTTTTGCAAATAAACAGATGCCGCCTCTAAGGCACAGATAAGGCATATAATATACGACAAAACAATCAATGATGGATTAAGATGTGGAGGTAAGCCGTAATTACTAAATAGAAATAAAATACGAGACGTGAAAATTAGTTTGTATGTTAATTCCGAGGAATTGGAAATCAGTTGCTGTGTTTAAAGTTTAACAAACTATTAGCTGTT